TGGTTCAGATGGGAAGTTTTGTGTGTGTTTTACCATAACGAAAATATATCTTGTTGTCTGTTTGCTTTTTGAGACAGGGTCTTTTTCATAGCTCAGGCTGGCCTTGAACTTCTATGTAGCTAGCCCAGGCTGACCTTCACCTTGCAGCAATCCTCCTGCCTCAGCTAGAATTATAGATGTATGCTGCCACACCCTGCTGAAAACAAACTTGTCCAACAGAGATTAGAAATTTCTGAGTCGACCCAGCATAATCAAAGGGGTCTTCAAGAGGCAAAGGGAGGGGCCTGGGGATTTAGCTCAGCGGCATAAGCACCTGCCTTGCAAGCAGGCAGTCGTGAGTTCGATCCCCAGTACCGATAAAAATGAAAAAGAAGCAAAGGGAGGCTAAGAGCTCAGAGTCACCGTGGTGGGATGGGAGAGGACCTTGACTGTTACTGCCAGCTCTGAAGTTGAGGAAAGTGGACAGAATCCACAAGTCCCTCCAGAAACTGGAGGCAGGAGGAAGTGGATTTTCCACTGGACCTGCAGAAAGGAAGGCAGCCTGGCCATACCATGTCTTTAGCTCAGGAAGACCCTTGCCAGATCCAGACCTACAAAACTGAAGGGACACTGTTTCTTTAGGTTATCAAGCTTGTGGTGTCACCAGAGTCTCCACAGACCATCCAGTCTTCATTACTTGGTGGTTGGCATGGTCTGTGTCTGACCACAGAGTCCCTTTCTCCACTAGGTGACTGCTGGGTGCCCAGAAGGTGCTTTGCTTGATAAATGATGCAAACCTGATGGCATGAAGAATCAAGGGACCCACGTTTGGTGATTTCTCCATGTGATGTTTCCTCCCACTTTTCTGTGGTGCAGGATACAGAACCAGGACCCTCACACACGCTCTAGTCAGGCACCCTGACACTGAGACACACTCCCAGACTCCCCTCCTCAAGTTTTAATTGGCAGGATCAAAATTTGTCTATATTTATGATTGGTAACATGCTACTTGTTTTTGTTCCTTGGATTTTTGAGACACTTTTGCTCTGTAGTTCAGGCTGTCCTTGAACCCACAGCATTCTTGCTTCAGCCTCCCACGAGCTGGGAACAGCGGTGTGTGCCACGTCGCCCAGTCTGTCACATATTTTGATATGTGTACACACTGCAGAACAGCTAAACTGAGCTAATTCACGTGTGTTATCGCTTGGGGTTATTTTTTCTTCGTGATGACAACTCTTTTTTTTTTTTTTTTTTTTTTTTGTCTTTTTCCTTTTTATCGGTACCGGGGATCGAACTCACGACTGCCTGCTTGCAAAGCAGGCGCTTATGCCGCTGAGCTAAACCCCCAGCCCCCGAGTGATGACAACTCTTAAGTCAACTGAACCCTTTTTGCTTTTTAAGAATGGTTTTTGTTTTATATCGCAATGTTTAAAAAGACTGCGCGCGGGGGCCTGGGGATTTAGCTCAGCGGCATAAGTACCTGCTTGCAAGCAGGCGGTCGTGAGTTCAATCCCTGGTACCGATAAAAATGAAAAAGACAAAAAAAAAAAAAAAAAAAAAAAAAAAGACCGCGCAAGGTAAGGAGCGGGAGACTGAGGCAGGAAGGTTGGAGCTGGCCAGGGGCCACCCGCCAAATGTCACCCGGGGGTGCGCGTGGGCGGGGGCAAAGCTTCAGCGCTTGGCTGGCGGTTGGTCCTGCGCTGGCGGTTGGTCCTGCTCGCGGCTAGCTGGACCCCCTAGGTCTCGAGGGACGGATTCTAAACCACTGCACGTTGCCCAGGAGACCCCAGTGATGGCACTGTGGACTCGCCTGTATGGCCGCGTCCTGGAAAGCTCTAGGGTAAGTGGGGCCAGAACTTGTACAGCACCCGGTGAGGTGCTAGAAATCATCGTGGTCAGGTGTGCGGTCGCGGGGATCTCTTGCTGGAGGGTCGCACCTGCCTGGGGTACTACCTGGAAGTCTTCAGCGATCCCTGTCGCCCTCATTAGGCCCGTCTGTCTATGTGACACACTTAATAGCCTCTCATGATCGTACCTCTCACCTTTCCTTCCTAACCATTCTCCACTGTACTGAACTGCTGTATTTCCATTGTGAAGCCTTCTTTTTTTTTTTTTTTTTTTTTTTTTTTTTTTTGTCTTTTTCCTTTTTATCGGTACCGGGGATCGAACTCACGACTGCCTGCTTGCAAAGCAGGCGCTTATGCCGCTGAGCTAAACCCCCAGCCCCCGAGTGATGACAACGCTTAAGTCAACTGAACACTTTTTGCTTTTTAAGAATGGTTTTTGTTTTATATCGCAATGTTTAAAAAGACTGCGCGCGGGGGGCTGGGGATTTAGCTCAGCGGCATAAGTACCTGCTTGCAAGCAGGCGGTCGTGAGTTCAATCCCTGGTACCGATAAAAATGAAAAAGACAAAAAAAAAAAAAAAAAAAAGACTGCGCGCAAGGTAAGGAGCGGGAGACTGAGGCAGGAAGGTTGGAGCTGGCCAGGGTCCACCCGCCAAATGTCACCCGGGGGTGCGCGTGGGCGGGGGCAAAGCTTCAGCGCTTGGCTGGCGGTTGGTCCTGCGCTGGCGGTTGGCCCTGCTCGCGGCTAGCAGGACCCCCTAGGTCTCGAGGGATGGATTCTAAACCACTGCACGTTGCCCAGGAGACCCCAGTGATGGCACTGTGGACTCGCCTGTATGGCCGCGTCCTGGAAAGCTCTAGGGTAAGTGGGGCCAGAACTTGTACAGCACCCGGTGAGGTGCTAGAAATCATCGTGGTCAGGTGTGCGGTCGCGGGGATCTCTTGCTGGAGGGTCGCACCTGCCTGGGGTACTACCTGGAAGTCTTCAGCGATCCCTGTCGCCCTCATTAGGCCCGTCTGTCTATGTGACACACTTAATAGCCTCTCATGATCGTACCTCTCACCTTTCCTTCCTAACCATTCTCCACTGTACTGAACTGCTGTATTTCCATTGTGAAGCCTTCTTTTTTTTTTTTTTTTTTTTTTTTTTTTTTGTCTTTTTCCTTTTTATCGGTACCGGGGATCGAACTCACGACTGCCTGCTTGCAAAGCAGGCGCTTATGCCGCTGAGCTAAACCCCCAGCCCCCGAGTGATGACAACGCTTAAGTCAACTGAACACTTTTTGCTTTTTAAGAATGGTTTTTGTTTTATATCGCAATGTTTAAAAAGACTGCGCGCGGGGGGCTGGGGATTTAGCTCAGCGGCATAAGTACCTGCTTGCAAGCAGGCGGTCGTGAGTTCAATCCCTGGTACCGATAAAAATGAAAAAGACAAAAAAAAAAAAAAAAAAAGACTGCGCGCAAGGTAAGGAGCGGGAGACTGAGGCAGGAAGGTTGGAGCTGGCCAGGGGCCACCCGCCAAATGTCACCCGGGGGTGCGCGTGGGCGGGGGCAAAGCTTCAGCGCTTGGCTGGCGGTTGGTCCTGCGCTGGCGGTTGGCCCTGCTCGCGGCTAGCAGGACCCCCTAGGTCTCGAGGGACGGATTCTAAACCACTGCACGTTGCCCAGGAGACCCCAGTGATGGCACTGTGGACTCGCCTGTATGGCCGCGTCCTGGAAAGCTCTAGGGTAAGTGGGGCCAGAACTTGTACAGCACCCGGTGAGGTGCTAGAAATCATCGTGGTCAGGTGTGCGGTCGCGGGGATCTCTTGCTGGAGGGTCGCACCTGCCTGGGGTACTACCTGGAAGTCTTCAGCGATCCCTGTCGCCCTCATTAGGCCCGTCTGTCTATGTGACACACTTAATAGCCTCTCATGATCGTACCTCTCACCTTTCCTTCCTAACCATTCTCCACTGTACTGAACTGCTGTATTTCCATTGTGAAGCCTTCTTTTTTTTTTTTTTTTTTTTTTTTTTTTTTGTCTTTTTCCTTTTTATCGGTACCGGGGATCGAACTCACGACTGCCTGCTTGCAAAGCAGGCGCTTATGCCGCTGAGCTAAACCCCCAGCCCCCGAGTGATGACAACGCTTAAGTCAACTGAACACTTTTTGCTTTTTAAGAATGGTTTTTGTTTTATATCGCAATGTTTAAAAAGACTGCGCGCGGGGGGCTGGGGATTTAGCTCAGCGGCATAAGTACCTGCTTGCAAGCAGGCGGTCGTGAGTTCGATCCCTGGTACCGATAAAAATGAAAAAGACAAAAAAAAAAAAAAAAAAAAGACTGCGCGCAAGGTAAGGAGCGGGAGACTGAGGCAGGAAGGTTGGAGCTGGCCAGGGGCCACCCGCCAAATGTCACCCGGGGGTGCGCGTGGGCGGGGGCAAAGCTTCAGCGCTTGGCTGGCGGTTGGTCCTGCGCTGGCGGTTGGCCCTGCTCGCGGCTAGCAGGACCCCCTAGGTCTCGAGGGACGGATTCTAAACCACTGCACGTTGCCCAGGAGACCCCAGTGATGGCACTGTGGACTCGCCTGTATGGCCGCGTCCTGGAAAGCTCTAGGGTAAGTGGGGCCAGAACTTGTACAGCACCCGGTGAGGTGCTAGAAATCATCGTGGTCAGGTGTGCGGTCGCGGGGATCTCTTGCTGGAGGGTCGCACCTGCCTGGGGTACTACCTGGAAGTCTTCAGCGATCCCTGTCGCCCTCATTAGGCCCGTCTGTCTATGTGACACACTTAATAGCCTCTCATGATCGTACCTCTCACCTTTCCTTCCTAACCATTCTCCACTGTACTGAACTGCTGTATTTCCATTGTGAAGCCTTCTTTTTTTTTTTTTTTTTTTTTTTTTTTTTGTCTTTTTCCTTTTTATCGGTACCGGGGATCGAACTCACGACTGCCTGCTTGCAAAGCAGGCGCTTATGCCGCTGAGCTAAACCCCCAGCCCCCGAGTGATGACAACGCTTAAGTCAACTGAACACTTTTTGCTTTTTAAGAATGGTTTTTGTTTTATATCGCAATGTTTAAAAAGACTGCGCGCGGGGGGCTGGGGATTTAGCTCAGCGGCATAAGTACCTGCTTGCAAGCAGGCGGTCGTGAGTTCAATCCCTGGTACCGATAAAAATGAAAAAGACAAAAAAAAAAAAAAAAAAAAGACTGCGCGCAAGGTAAGGAGCGGGAGACTGAGGCAGGAAGGTTGGAGCTGGCCAGGGGCCACCCGCCAAATGTCACCCGGGGGTGCGCGTGGGCGGGGGCAAAGCTTCAGCGCTTGGCTGGCGGTTGGTCCTGCGCTGGCGGTTGGCCCTGCTCGCGGCTAGCAGGACCCCCTAGGTCTCGAGGGACGGATTCTAAACCACTGCACGTTGCCCAGGAGACCCCAGTGATGGCACTGTGGACTCGCCTGTATGGCCGCGTCCTGGAAAGCTCTAGGGTAAGTGGGGCCAGAACTTGTACAGCACCCGGTGAGGTGCTAGAAATCATCGTGGTCAGGTGTGCGGTCGCGGGGATCTCTTGCTGGAGGGTCGCACCTGCCTGGGGTACTACCTGGAAGTCTTCAGCGATCCCTGTCGCCCTCATTAGGCCCGTCTGTCTATGTGACACACTTAATAGCCTCTCATGATCGTACCTCTCACCTTTCCTTCCTAACCATTCTCCACTGTACTGAACTGCTGTATTTCCATTGTGAAGCCTTCTTTTTTTTTTTTTTTTTTTTTTTTTTTAGCTGTAAACTTAAGTTAGGTTGACTGAACAACCACTGCAGTCCTTGAAAAACATCTCTCTTGAGCCATAGCAAATCCAATTCCTTTCTGTGTTCACTAAATTAAGCCCAAGAATTCAGGCAGGCCTTCCCAGGAGCTGACTGCACACAGTCAATAAGATGTAAGATGTAAGATGCCTGTTGGATTTTGTACTTGTCAGTTTTCCTGGCTGTATACTGCTTCTGTGCTTTTCCTGAAAAAGGATTGAGTGGAATGGGCCCCTACCAGGAAATAGAAAAAAACTAGGTAACAGAAGCGCACTTGTTTTCAAAACTAAAAAGTTTGCTTTTGCAAACAAAACCTCACATGGTTTGCTCTATTCTTTATAGGAGAAATAAGTAGCTCTCTTTGGGCCTTACATCTTCCCAGCGTTGTTGTCTTCTTTAGTGTCTTCATGTGGTGGCTTTCTGCATTTAATGGGTGCCTGGGTGTATCTTCACAGAGTATTTGCATCCAAAGAATAACAGATCTGTGAATAAAGAGATTGTCAGCTTTCCTTTATTAGCTACAGATACTCATAAAGTTGTAGATTTGTGGGAACCTGTATTTTCCGTATAATGACTAGTCCTGTGTTTTTGTTCCAAAATGATGTGTGAGGTGATGCCCACCATCAGTGAAGAAGGCCCTTCAGGAGGAAGTGAAAACCATGGATCTGGCTGCCCTTCACAACCAGATGCAGATTCCCATTTTGAACAGCACATGATGTCCATGCTAGAAGAAACAGACATTGCTCAGAGCACACTGATAGAGACTCAAGAAACATTGGCGTTGACCCAGGGGAAATTACTCGAGGTTGGTCATGAGAGAGATTCGTTGCAGAGACAACTCAATACTGCGCTTCCACAGGTATGTGTGGTTTTCACCTGAAACTACAGGTTTTTTCTGTTACGTGTCTTTCTGTGGTACCATCTTTTGTTTTTGTACCTGTATATTTTGTGTAACCAACCACTTGTCAAATGATAGTTCCTAGTGTTTGTAAGCGCATGCAGAGTTCCTGGGGATTCAGCTACTTAGGGCAAATAAACTAGTGTTCTGTAAAGTCATGTGAAAATATCTTACTACTTTCACTCTTCGCTGAGGAACTGCTAAAGATTTGGGAATGCACTTTGAAGGTTTTTTAAAAAGACTTGAAACAACAACCAAGCGGCATGGTCCTTGGTTTCTTTGATTCTGTTTTGTGAGATCTCTTGCTTAATGTAGGCTTCCCATGGCTTGTATCTCAGGAATTGTATGTGTGTTTAGGATTGTATCTCAAGGATTTGCAGTTTTCTAATGAAATTTAGTAGATAATAATTTTTTTTTTGTTTTTGGTATCAGGAATCGAACTGAGGACCTTGCTCTTGCCAAGCAGATGCTTGTTGCTGCTGAGATATTATCTCTAGCCCTTGAAATTTGGTAGACAAGGATTGATTTCACAGAGAAAAATTTTTACAGACGATCTTTACAGAATACCGGTGTTTGTAAATCACATTTGTAATAAGGGATAGAAAACTGGAAATTTATTCTTTAGGAACTTTCTCCTTTTAGACTAGACTTCTAAGTTTAAAACAACTGGGCTGGGGATTTAGTTCAGCAGCATAAGCTTCTGCCTGGCAAGCATAAAGTCATGAGTTTGATCCCCAGTACCAAAAACAAATATATAAAAGTAAAAACCACCTCAAAGTTGGAAACAACTGTAGTTCTTTCTTTAATTATATTACATTCAGCTCAGTATCTCAAAACTGCCTCTTGTGGAATTAAATGGAGACTGAATGGCATGCGAAGGGAGAACATAGTAAAACTAGAAAAATGTAAGGTAAATGGTACACAGCATAGTGGGAGATAAGTAGCTTATTATTTAGGTGTTTATAAGCCATCGAGTACCATTTTACTTGTTCATAATAGTTGCCTTTCTGGTCCATTCAGGTAGACCTGAATAAGCATACATCTATGCTGTCATGATGAGTCTGCAGTGATAAATCGGCAAATGAACACTAGCCCTAATGTATTTGTTGGCTATAGTCAATTCTCCTGAAAGATTAATAAGCCAAGCATTTGAATTTCCTTTTTAGAAACAATAATTTGATGTTAGTGCTATATGTTTCTTTTGTTGGTTAGAAAATCAGTAAATTGTTTGCTTTTGTGGAGCATAGGGTTGAAGGAGGGCTTCATTTGTGTTTGCCTAAGTGCTCTGTCACTGAGCTCCATCCCTCCTAGTCACATTAAGATTTTTCTCATTGGAATCTTATAAATGTCAGAGTTTATTTAGGTCAGATTTTACTATAGAAGATTATAAGAACTGGCCAACTTGTATTTGTGTAGGGAGGTAATGGGGAGCAGTTTATGTGAAGGATTTTATAGTATATACAGGTATTTGTAAATTTGTGATGGTTTAGTTTTGTTTTTGTAATATATTGACTATAATTTGAGATATATCTACAGTTTATCTAATACATAGTTAATCTATTCAGTTTTTGGAAAAAACAGGCAGGCAGGACCTGAGAGGGAAGTGACAGGAGTTTTGTAGAGTTGGTTTCAGGCAGTGGGTGTTGTCACACCTGCTGATGAGGTGGTTGCCTGGTGATTTGTTTCTGGGGGGTTCTCAGTGTAGCAGCCTGGAAATGCTTAGTTTAGTGCATAATGTGATGATGCCACCAGGTCCCGTCACCATCTGAGCACCTGATGCAGCATTTCAGAAACACAGAAACCATGAAACAAACTTGTTTTGGTCCTTTTCCTTTCCTGGAATCAGGCTCATCTTTGGTAGTTGTTTGACTAGAGAGGCCTGTCAAGTAAGTGCCCGGTGTACTTTTGGCACATTAGGTAGGCAGGTCAGAATGTGCCCTACTTCTAAAAATGGAAGTAAAAGGCTGGGCATGGTAGTGCATTCCTGGAATCTTCAACCCTTAGGGAGGCCAAGGCAGGAGGATCAAAAATTTGAGCCCAGCCTGAGAAACTTAGCAGTTGTCTTAAATAAAAAATAAAAAGAGAGCAGAGAATGCTCCTCAGAATGAAGGCCCCCAACTATAGCAAATATCAGAAATCTTCTCAGCGAATTTTCCATAGAGCCAACACACTTGAGAAACAGTTCCTACATCAAAATGAAACACTGGAAGCCCCTGCCTAGTTTCCAGTACAGGTGTTTCTCATTTAATTACCTGCTTAACAACTGTTTGGACTTCCCTGCTGCTCAGACTTATGCCTCCTCTTTTTTTGTTTTTTGTAAAGTTCTGCACATCTGGTTCAGAGACTCTCAATGGTTTGTTTTTTTTTTTAGTTTGTAATGTTTATACAGTACTATACTTTTTCTGATGGTACTCTATGGTACTGTAGTTTCATGTTCTGTTGTACATTATATACTGCATAGAAGTTGTGCAAATAAAGGCAAAGTCATCAAGTTGGAGTTTCCTTTGACCATTTCTTTGTGCTGAGTGTTGTAATGTATGTACTATATACAGCTCCTCATTTAGCAACTAATTCTTTTAACGCTGTACTGACAGGAATAGGACTTGGTGGTTAAATGAGGAATCCTTGTACCTTTCCTCCAATTCTAACAATGGTCTTGATCTCTCACCATTGATTATTTTTGCTTCTTCTTGACTAAATGAAGTAAAATAGTACCTATATTGTGTTTCTTGGTTGTTTCATTGTTCATGAGATTTACCTGTGTCCTATATTTTTTGCCTATTCTCATCTGTTGTCTGGTAATCCAGCATACCAATATATCAAAATTTGTTCTTTTCTATTCATGAACATTCAGGTTGATTCCAGTTTTTATCAATTCTATCCTGAGTATTCTTGTGTATTATTTCTTTTGTGTATGAGAGTGAAGCTATGGCTGAGCATGGCGGCATATGCCTATAAACTCAGCAGGGCAGAATGTTGAGGCAAGAAGACTGCGAGTTTGCGCCCCTCTTGGGCTTTATACTGAGAACCTGTCTTTTTTGGGGGGCGAGGTAATGGGACTTGAACTCAGGACGTTGTGTTGCCAAACAGGAGTTGTGCCACTAAGCTATATCCCTGGCCCTCGGATCCTTTAAAAAAAAAAAAAAAAAGCAGAGAACTGTGGAGTGATAGATATACCATGCATTTGTTCAGCCTTAAGAGATATTGCTAAAAGTGGCATTGTACTGACACCAACAGCATGTGAGAAGTCAGTGTGCATATCATCTTTACCCCTGACACTGTTCATTCTTTTTTTTTTTTTTTTTAAACTGGTACCAGGGCTCGAACTCATGACCACCTGCTTCAAGGCAGGCACTTATGCTGCTGAGCTAAATCCCCAGCCCCCATTGTTTATTCTTTTATGTTAGCTTTTCTGGTGCCTATTTAATGGGAGAGGTGACTTAGTGAGAGAGGTACCAGAGATCGAACTCACGACTACCTGCTTGCAAGGCAGGTGCTTTTGCCACTGAGCTAAACTCCCAGCCCCTTATCGTGTATTTCATGTATTTCTTTAGCATTGCTACTTCTTCATCTGAGAAGGGTCTGTTCATTTTTGATGCCCATTTTTTGAATTTGGGGGTGGTTCTGTATTTTTGAGCTCCTTATATATTTTAGGCATTAATCCTTTGTCTGAGGAACAGCTGGCAAAAATGTTTTACCATCGCGTGGGTTGTCTCTTCACTCTCTTGGTAGTTTCTCTTGCTTTTCAAAAGATTTTGAATAAGATGCAGTCCAAGTTGTTGATTATTTCTGATAGAAGCTTTGCAATTGGGGTTTTTTTCCATGAGATCTTTGCCTATACCAAAGTCTTCAGTTCTACCTGTCTTCCAGCAGATTGGAGTTGTTTCTATTTTCATATTGAAGTCTTTGAGCTATTTGGATTTTAGCTTAATGCCTGGGAAGGGATATGGGTCTAGTTGTAATCTTTGGCATGTGGAAAGCCAGTTTTTTCCAGCACCATTTCTTAAAGAAGCTATCTTTCTTCCAGTGAGTATGTTTGGCTCCTTTGTCAAAGATAAGATGATTGAGTATGCTGGAGTTGTTTCTACATCTTAAAATCTGTTCCATTGATCCTTGAGTCTGGTTGTTTTGTTTTGTTTTGTTTTGCCAGTTTTTATCACAATAACTTTGTAGTATAATTTGCAGTCAAGGATTGATTGGATTCCTTTCTGGTTTTGGTATCAGGATAATACATGCTTCCAGGAATGAATTTGGGAGTATGGCTTCTCTTTCAATTTCTTAAAAGAGACTGAAGTAGTAGTATTAGGTTTTCTCTAAATTTCTTGTGGTGTTCAGCAGTGAATCTGTCAGGGCCTAGGGTTTTCTTTATTGATGGGTTTTTAATTACATCTTCACTTTCACTGACAGATACTGATTTATTTAGAATTTTTATACCTTCTTGATTCAGCTGTGGTAATTCATATGTAACTAGGAATCTGTCTATTTCTTCTTTGTTTTCTATCTTACAATACACATTCTCAAAGCAAGGTTTGGTTTTGAGGATCTTCTGAATATCTGTAGGGCTTCTTGTGATTTCCACCTTTTGATTCCCAATTGTATGTGTTTGGGTCTTTTTTGTTTTTAATAAGGTTGGCTGAGAGTTTGTCAAGTTCATTTAATGTAACACAGAACTCTTTGTTTCATTGATTCTTTGTATTATTTTGTTAGTCTCCATTGCTTTAACTTCTGCTCTGTTCTCTATAACATCCTCCTTTTTACAAGCTTTAGGCATGACCTGCCCTTGATCTAAAAGCTTGAGGTTCAACAGTAGGTTATTTGAGCTTGCTCTGTTTTTCAGCTATGGGTATTCAGTGCTGTAAATTTCCCTCCTAGGACTGCTTTCATTGTGTTCCTTATGTTCTGTTACAATGTATTGGCATTATCATTTAATTATAGATACTATTTAATTTCATCTATAACCC